TAAGCATCCAGATATTCTTGCCACGGATGTTTGGGTTACCATCGGATTTACATACAAAGCAAGCGAACAAAAGTATTGTCTAATAAAAGAACAGTATGAGAGGGAATTATGTCTGGCGTGTACAGAAAGATTTTCCTACGAGATAAATGCATTTTGTTTAACTTGTAAAGCACCGAGACCGCTCAATTGGACGACTGGCAACAAGTCTTTGGATTTATTTATCATGGAATCGTGGCATAATACGACTAGTTCATACGATGCGTATATACAATGGATCGAATACTCCCTGTTATCAAACGTACAAGAGATGCCATCATTACGCCACGGATGCACACGTAAAGCAGATTGGTTAGAATCAACAAGATTCGGATTGACACGCGTGGCGCTCAAAAAGATAGTTGATGAAGGAGATGATCAGCCGTTTAATTTTTATCGGGTAAATTACTTCACATCAAGTAATGCAAAATTAATAATGCGCATCGTACATTAACACATTGATTATTGCTGTAACAATTGTATTTTTGTAGCTAACCAAGGAATACCCAGAGATACTAATACCAGACAATATTTGGATAATCGGGATCACCCAGGAGCCATCTACTCGGGAATACTATTTAGTGTTCTACCACGATGTACATGCAATAGTGGACAGGTTTATACGACTTTACAGTCGCCGTTTTGTTAAGCACTTGCAATATGATGACTTTTATGAACTCAAAGAAATCGGATCCGGTGGTTATGGAACATTTTATACTGCCAAATATAGAAGACATTTAGAACAAGTGTTTATGAATGAAACTGTTGTACTCAAACAGTTTAAGCGTTTTGATGAGACGTATGAATTATTTATTTCCGAGGTAAGTTATAATTTTAATATTAGTGTTAAAAATATATTAATATTTAATTTGACATGTATTTATTTTATTTCACAGTTTAGAAATCATGCCAAGTGTTCATCTATTCATTTTCTTCCTGTTTATGGAGTCACGCAAGTCCCAGAAACAAACGAGTACATGATTGTTATGCATGCTTACAAGGGTGGTCTTTTGCCTTATTTGGATCAAAATATTAACAACTTGACATGGGAGACTAAATTATACCATGTGTGGGAGATTGCAGATGATCTGTGTTCTGTTCATCAGGCAGGATTAGTACACTGTAATCTTCATCCTGGAAACATAAACATTGTTTTGGAAGATAGAGTTATTCCAATGCTTTGCAATCTTGGTCTTTCTCAATCAGTGAAGTCACACAAGCCAAATTCAACTATTCAAGGCATTTTGTCCTTTATTGCACCAGAAGTCTTCTGCACCCGCAAATTTACAAAGGAGTCAGACATATATTCTTTTGGTATCATTATGTATTTGATGGCTACTGGTGAGTTGCCTTTTACTTTTAGAAATAGGCAGTTTGATAGAGATTTAATGTGCAATATTATGGGCAGACTACAGCTCTCAATGCCTGATTCTGCACCAGAGGAATACAAGAAAATTGCTGAATGGTGTTGTGATGCTGATCCTGATAAGCGTCCTGATGCAGATACACTTGTCAAAACTTTTGCAAAGATGTATAAAGAGCTTGACAGTAATGTGTGGAATACTATCTATAAGAATAATATAAAAACCATTATTATGTCTTGAGAGGGAGAGTAAATACTCTTACCTACATGTTACAGGATATTTTACCTAAAAATAAGAAATAACTATCAGTATCAGCTGCAAGTATGGATGAAGTAATTGGCTACATGGATATGTTGATAATAAAAGTCAATTATACAATATTACTTTACTAATATAAATTTTAGTGACTCAAAACTTCAAATAAAAACAGTTGTATACTATTTAACATTAATATCAAGTAAATTTCTTATTCTGTCATCATCTCCTGGTTTGAATTTCCTGGGGCAAAAGTTTTTATTGGTTAATTAAAGCATACTTTTTCACATTACTTTATTAATATTAAAGAGTCGTCTAAAGCGGAGGAAACACAAGAAACTAGTTCAATTAAATTTCAAAATTGGCGAATTTAATACAAGATTATGTGTAACGTATAAATTTCAAAGCAAGCCAAAAAAAAAAAAAGAAAACTTAAATTTTACTATGATAACTATCCTTTGACTGCTAAGTAAAATGGACGGTATGGTGCGCCAGGGCAGCAAAAGACTGTATTTAAATACAGTTTTTTGCGTATTTAAATACACTTTTTTAAACAACACTTTCTGAAAAACGCGGAATGCCGTTTAACGTACACTTTTGTTGAACCTAAAAAAGTGTATTTAAATACACTTTTGTTTGTAAAACGCTAAATGCTGTTTATCGGTTTAATATGTGACACTTTTTTGGCCAAAAATGATATTTTTAGTACACTTTTCGATCCAGCAGAAACAAATTAAAATACACTTTTAAATCTGGATCGATCAGATGGTTAGTATCTAGTGCAAACTATGTCAACAATTACCTAGCTTTGCAAAATATAATGTCTTAATAGACGTTCTAATCGACTTTATTACGATATATTAATATGTTACAACATGGGAGAAAATTCTTTAACATACCCAAATCTCTCAAAGTATGATTGAGCTCGCTGGCCGCCTACTCATTGTCCGACTCTCAAATACCCTCCCTAACTTGCGACAACTCCATTCTCTTGCTTGGTCCCAAAATGTTTTTGATATAGTTAGAATGTCTCTCTCTCTGCTTATGATTACTATATGACTATCCCACTTGCTCCGTACCTCTCTTCTTGAATGTACTATTTAATATGGCAGTTGGCGATAGTAAAGATGGTAATGTTGGTAAGATTGATGGATGGTTGTGATGTTGGTGATTGTGGTGGTGATGGTGATACTTAGAAGCTAGTGGTAGAGATGATAATGCAAGCATTTTAACAAACAAATCTAATTTACGTCTCATAGCAGTGACGGATGATATAATTGTTATCGTAAAACCAGCGATAGTAGTTGATGGTAGTGGTGGAGATAATGACGGGAGTAGAGGAGATGTTACTGCTTTTGCTCTTGTAATCATTCGCCCCATGCTATTTGCAGATAACGATATGGATCGAATGAACATCCTCTTCCGCTATTGTTATTTATAGAACCATAGATATGGGAGATACAGTATATGACGGTGGAGATAATGATGATGGGTGTTAGTTTATTTTATTTTAATAATTCTAATTTAACAATACTCTCCTGTTATATATTCGAGAAAATTAGACTATTACATATTATATTCGTCGTACTTTGCCCGGTCGATATAGTCGGCCGGGCTCGAGGCACGACTACTCTAGTTAACATGACAATACGAGTTATAGTGACATAAAATCATACATACGTGACCTTGGTATTTCACGATCCGCGACCATTCGAGGCGTTTTCCCTTTTATTTCACTAGAAGTCTTCCATACCTGCAAATTTACTCAGGAATCGGATGTGTATTTATTTGGTATCATTATGTATTTGATTGCTACTGGTGAACCACCATTTAGAGATTGGTTGTTTGACAAATGTTTGGCGATACGTGTTTGTGAGGGACTGCGACCGTCGATGCCTTGATTTTGCGCTTGCCGAGCGGTGTTGTGATGCTGATCCTGATAAGCGTCCTGATGCACATACACTTTGGCTTGAGCTCGATATTGACAAAGTGGGAAAGGATAACGTATGGAATGACGTTTATCATAATGATGTAAAGCCATTATCATGTCTCGAGGAGGAGAGTAAATATTCTAGTACGTTTTTACCTATTGGAGATTTGCCTAAATTAGAAAGCAGCTATGTTTGGATTCAGCTGCAGGTATGTTACAAATTGGTACAAATGAAGTCAATTTACAATATTAACACGTGCATTTCTTGCATTTAGAGACTCAACATTTTTTGTAACTCAATGAGCTTATTTACGGTATACTCAAAGGTTCGAATTGTACGATATACTTCCACATATTGAGTTAACAAGACGTCGTAATAAAATTGTACATGTTACTTTTGCTGTATATTAACTATGTAAGAAATTAAAATACACTATTTATTTAAAAGTGTATCTTGAGACTAATGTTAAATTGATAATGAGTTCGATGCTAATGGCCCCTGATAAAACTAGCAACATTCGAGCTCGGTTCGATGTGTGTTTAATAGTTTTCAAATCCCAACCAGTTTTTTTCCAAATACGCCATTGTTTAGCTTAGACTTTAGCTTGGACTTGAAATATCATACGATAGCTATTTAATGAGGTCATTCTTCCCCGCAGATGATATAATATATAAATAGCTCGAATCCATCGGCATGCCGTATGTTTTAACTGTTAAATAATAAACCACGGAAAATTGAATAAACGCTTTTCTATTGAAATCGAACTATTTTCTTTCTTTTAACCGGATATACGCACGTACCTATAAACAGCTAAACGTCCGTTGATCAGTAATTATGAAACATGAGTTTATAATAAATATTAACTAAGTATTGTTGTTGAATTAGTTAGTTCAAGACAAATTACGTTTACTCTACTAGTCAAAATATGGAATCGAAGTTTGCCCAGTTTAACTTTTAAAATAAGTGATTATGTGGATAATCCAGCAGCTATTTCATTTCAATATAGGAGGATTAAGTTTAAATATGTGTGTGTGTGGGGGTGTGGTGTGGGGGTGTGGTGTGTGGTGTGTGGTGTGTGGTGTGTGGTGTGTGGTGTGTGGTGTGTGGTGTGTGGTGTGTATGAGTATGGATGTGTGAGTGTGAGTGTGTGGTGTATTGTATCGCGCGTACCCTTATTTGGATATGCATAACAAGTTTCGTATAATCGCGCAGAAATATTACAGATTTAGGTCAGTGACAATTGAGACGTGGATACGAAGCTAAATTTGGTAACATTGTCCGAAAGATATGACGACTGATCTATGAAAATGGTGCTCGTCGGGAAATCATCCTCAAAGAAATTGGGCCATTTATGGTAATCATCCCCATTTCACATATCACCCCCAAATCTAAGCGACCCAATTATTGTTGTGATGATCGAGGACGCTAGGACGGTCAGTTGAATGGTACGAGTAAGACTCTCCCCGTGGCAACAATCAAAAAGTGATAAAAACATGATTACATTACTGATGATCGACAAGGATTTTAGGGTACGGATAATTTGAGATTTCGGTGACTTCTCGCTTGCATCGTGCTACCGAACTTCTAACCGCTGTTGCGAAAAACTTTACTATTACACTTGAGATCAGGAAAACGGCACAGGGTAGGTAGCATCTCCAAGTATATATCCCACACAAAAAATCAATTTCGACCCCAAATCACCAACTACCCATTTTCATAGATCAGTCGTCATATGAAAGTCCGTATACGCAATAGTGAAAAGACGTATAAACTTCAAAACCTTAAGGCTTTTCAAGGACGTGAGTTATGGACTCAAAACTTAGACGGTAGATACTCTTATGCTTGCTTTACCAGAAAATAAGGAATTTTTTTTCTTTGCTAAAGCAATTGGATAACTGTTTCTACAATATATATATATATATAAACTAATAATAACATAATAAAATAAAGAAAATGCTGGTAAAGTAAGCATAAAAGTATCTACCGTCTAAGTTTTAAGGCCATAACCCACGTCCTTGAAAAGCCTTAAGGTTTTGAAGTTTATGTCTTTTCACTATCGCAATGATCGGCAATGATCGGCGAAAAATACCTCATATACAGTACGTGACTTTCCCTATGTTTGGATATCGTACCCCCCAGTCTAATAACCAAATAAACATAACGAGGATAGCAACAGCAAACACCTGCAATCACAGCAACACCTACCTGCAATCACAATAAAAGATATCATCGCTCATTGGCAGATAAAAATTTGGGGTCTATCTTTGGAGGGTCCATCACTGTTAAAAACGATACCCAAATCTTTGTGCATGATCGCCCATCATGCAAGTACCATCATTTTGATAGTCCAGTCCCCATATCTGTAGTACCGATCTGCGTAAATTAAAATGTAAGTTTACATTTGACCAACAAAAAGCGTTGGGAAAAATCATATGATAAGAGCAGTCAGTTGGTGATGGAAGCAAAGAATATAACAACTGGACGGAATACGAACGAAGAAACTTTAGACTTTTCTTAAACAGTAACATAAGATCCTTGAACATGTAAAGACGATACAAGAAATACAATGTATTGTGAAGTTGGTTATTTAGGGTACATAAATTTTATTTGATGAGATAGAAAATATAGTATATGACGAAACTCGCCGGTATTTGATAATTCTATTCTGTACGTTATTTTATAAAAAATAAATGTTTTGGACCAAATCAAAACTTAGCCCATTCTAAAACGGTCCAATTATTCCTCGCCCATTTCATGATTCCGGTTTGAAATCTTGTGTCGCATGTGAAACTATGGATGGTTCTCCAATTAAAGAAATGTTTAAGAAGTCGTAACCATGTAAATTCCGTCAAATAACCTTAACATTTCTTACTAAAATAAAACCGCCTCTAACATGTTTGAATACCATCGGTAAAGAACAAGTTGCATTTGTAATCGTTACCAAGCATTACACTTTTGCTATACTTATAGACATAACATAACGTCTTAGTCTTTAAGCTCACGCTGACCTTTTACGTTTTTGATTTGCACTACGCCCGCCCGATCTTACTATTATTGCTTACTCCGGTTTATTGTCAAACTCACAAATTAAACTGCTTTTACCATATTAGAAGACATTCAGAGTTCCAGATCACTATAACTATGTCCTGTAAGTCAATATAACAACGTATGTGTGTTTATGTAAAGTCTGCTATGTAAATCCCGTCAAGCCCCCAAAATTAAGTGTCACCCCATTTTTTCAGTTATCGATATTCGTAAGATAATAACATAAGTTGTTCTTATTAATCATACGATTTAATCACACTTGGGTTTTTTAACTTATACGACTGCTTTCTATACGTAGTCTGAGCAAATATTTTTCTAAGCTTAATACAAATCATACGTCGTCGTATTGACTTACAGGACATAATAGTGGTTCCGGAACTCCGAATGTCTTCTTAGTGAATAGGTGAGACCGGAGCATAGCTGTGAGTGAAAAGTCATAGAGTGATGTGAGCTTAAAGAGTCATGGTAGCGTTTGGTAGCGTTTGGTAGCAGTACAAATATTATCGACGGTATTTGAATGGTTTTTATTTTGGGGTCTTTAGTAAGACATTTTAGGGACTTTTGACGGGATTTACATGGTTACCGGATTTACGTACAGCGTATATATATTTATACTTACTTCTTTTAAACATATCTCTTAGAAAATGCAAATGCAGCTTAGTTCTAAACAGAGAACATAGTTTCACATGCGACACAAGATTTCAAAGGTAATAACTGATTGAAGACGGAAGTCATACAGGTGATCACGTTATTATGATTCTGCACATGCGGCGGGTGCGGCGGGTGACTGACTGCATACGGATGGTCACGTTACTGTAATCGATTTCTGGTGGATCGCTAACCACTTTTAAACTCACGAAAATAACCATCCACTCCAATCCTGATTGTCAACCCTCGCTTTTACTTCCCGACTATAAATTTTTTTCACTATTCTAAACGTTCGATCTTGGAGTAATCGTTTTAAAGGTAGCGATTTAATCTTGGGATATTTTTATTCGATCTAAGATTTTTATTAAACCTTTTCGTTTACAGAAATGTCAGATTACTACAAGAAGGGAAAAACTTTTGAAAAAAAAATCATAAAGCTTTTACAAGAAGAGGGCTTTACACCCCGAATAAGGTGAGAATTTTTACTGAGTAGTTGTAGAGTAGTTTGTATCTGAAGGGACGCTGCCACTAGGTGTAAATCGGGGAATCGGAAAGCGCTTCGTGGTCACACTTTGAAAGTTATTATTTCAGATAATTATTTAATATATGTATCTGAAGTTATTAAGAGCTGCAGAGGGATCGTGGGCTGTAATGATTAGGATATATTGACCATTTGAATTGATGGTTTTGACTACGAAAACGCATTACTTATTATTATATTCTTTATTATTATTAGCTGCACTAGGGGCGACGGAGGGATTGACATCATTATAAACCATAATGGTGTAGTCTATGCAATCCAATGTAAGGCCTATAAAAACAAAATTGGTAAATATTAATATATTAATTAATATTATTGCAAAACTGTTATATAAAAGAATTGTTATATAATTTAATTTGAATATAGGTCCTCAGTTTGTCCAACAACTGAAGGGTTCGCTCGACGGTTGGCCGCTAGAAACAACTGTTGGCATCTTAGTAGCTAATGGGGCTAATCGTTTTACTAAAGATGCCGTTTCAGCGGCTCAATCGTCGAGGTATCATATTATCCTCGTTGGCATAAATGATCTCATTAAAACAATAAGAGATTATCAGCCCCAACGACCAGTTCAGCCCCTGGAAAAAGAAATAGAAGAAACTCATTCAGAAGTTCAGCAAGTAAGATCAGAAATAGCTGAACTTCGAGATCTTCTAATTTCTTTTTCAAAAAATAAATAAAATGGTTTATTTTTATTTTTATTTTTATTTTTATTTTTATTTTTATTTTTATTTTTATTTTTATTTTTATTTTTATTTTCATTTTTATTTTTATTTTTATTTTTATTTTTATTTTTATTTTTATTTTTATTTTTATTTTTATTTTTATTTTTATTTTTATTTT